GCTCTACATATGGCGGCTCGAAGGAATTTCCCCCGCCGAAGAACTATCATAAAGGGTTTCGCTGACTTGTGGCAAGCTAATTTGGCTGAAATGCAATCTTTCAGTGAAGAGAATGATGGATATAGATACATATTAGTAGTTATCAATTGCTATTCTAAGTTCATGTGGTGCAGACCAATTAAAAGGAAAGATATGGTAACCGTAACTATTGCAATGGATGATATTTTACAAACGGCTACCCATCACCCAAAGAACCTACAAATTTTCCGCTCTGATGCACAAGTATGGGATTAATCATTATTCCACATACAGTACGAAAAAAGGAGCAATAGTTGAGAGAGCTATCCGATCACTAAAACACCTACTTTTCACTGAATTTTCAGCCAGGGGGAGCTACCGGTGGATCAATATCTTAGCAGATGTTACTGATTTTTATAACAACAGGAAACATCGAACGACAGGTGTAAGCCCCATCGGAGTCGACTTCCATACACGATTGAATGTGTACAATCATCCAAAAGTAGCTGGAAATGGGAAGCTTAAACCTGGCGATGTCGTCAGAGTAAGCAAATACAAAAATCTTTTTGCAAAAGGGTGTACATCGCACTATTCAACGGAGTTGTTTAAAATATACAAAGTCAACATTTCAAATCCAGTTACATATATGTTAGAAGACGTGCAAGGTTGTCCAATAAAATGCTGTTTCTACGAGAAGAAACTAAGAAAAACAAAATTTCCAAATGAGTACTTGATTGAAAAGGTGACTAGGAGAAAGGGCAACAAGCTGTTAGTTAAATGGTTGGGATTTCCACATTATAAAAACTCTTGGATAGATATTAATGATATATCGTAATCCTTTTCTGTTGGACCCTCAGTTTTATGTTTTGTGCTATATTTACGTAGTCGCTATATGTTCGAAATGGTTGTATCAATAGAAAAAGTACAAATTCTGCAAATCTTGTTTTAATAAACTAACCTAGACACACATTGATTTTTACATTCATTCAAAACCCCTGAACCCTGAACATACCAACCCACTTCACTCTCTCTCCACTGTTATCTTTCGTTTCAGATTCAGAGACCAGTTTACCTGTCCACAAGGTCAATATAAATACGTTAAAATCTACCTGTCTTTACGTATCCTTATTCTTTAGCATGCATACAACAGGTTAGGCCACGCCGTATATTTACTAATCATAAAACGCCTCTAACCTACCGATTGATCGTTCTCCTGTTTGAATTCACCCCCTCCCCCCTTATATGTGTGTGTGTTAGGAATGGCATTACAAAATAATGAAACGTACCTCCTTTTCTCTTAGTTTTCCATAGTAATGATATCATTTCCGCGCATTCATGTATTTATCGTGCGTTGATGTTCTTCGATGAAATAACAACAACTCATTATATCATGTATTTATCCATATTGAGAAACCGAATCCTGACCGTGAGACCCTCGCTATTAACACAGGTGAAATTGCATAGAATTGTGGCAGAAATGCCAAACATTCCTTGTTGAAAGTTGTCCCAAAACACTATACAGTGCCTTTATTTAAACCCTTATAATATACAGGGTGACTTTGAAGTTGAGTCATTAATTTTCAGATAATGATTGTAGAAGGAAGATAAACCAAAATATGTGTGTAAAAATAAAAAATAAATAAAAAAAAAATGTTACCTTGTTTAATAAAGTATCGTCCCGACAAGTATTTCAGTGCGGACCTGTATTTGATCGTGCGGTATTGGAGCAGCATGCCCTGGACCTGTGAGGTCTTAAGTCACCTTGATTCACGAGCACTTTGTACTACATTAACAAAGGCACGAGGGTTGGTTGCACCGATTGGGACACCGATTCGCATAAATCCGTGATGCATCCGGGAGCATTTTGTAAAGACTTGCCCCCCCCGTAAATAAGAATCATGTCCACAAGTTCAGCATTTTCGTAAACATGTGCCATTTTGATTTCGTTTGAGCCACGCAACAAACACTTACTATTATTCACTAACGCGTTATCGACTGACGAAAAACATCGTGATAAATGTTTCAAATTCTTTCGCTTTTTTGTTTCCGATGCGATGAACCGTCAGGCGGATTATATCCGTTGTCGCCAAACCGAACATATTATTATTGAGACAGGGCAGTACTCAAACTTCCAAAGGGCTATAACTTTGTTACTTTAATTTTACCAGAAAAAATGGTAAAGGAAAAAACATTTCTTTTGATCAGATCTACTCACTGTTAAAATAAATGACTCAACTTCGAAGTCACCCTGTATAGCATGACAGCTTGGGGTACCACCTGCTATATATAGGAGCAGGTGCATACACGAAATACTAAACACTCTTTATAGATAGTTTTCTGGGAATAGTGTAATAAAAAAATGTCCCTTCTTTTCACCAGCAGCTATTTCTATTTTGTCTTGTGTGGATGTTGTCGAATATTCGGACGCATATTATGAGAAGAATTCCTGAACGCACAATCGAACTTGCCCTGTCATGCTATATATATATATATATATATATATATCACAGAGGAGTGACTTTCTATCACAGGCAATGTATTGGGCAAGCCTCACCCCATTCAGGTGGTTGGCAATTCTCAATTCGAATTTATGGCAGCTATCATTTTTAGTGTATACAATTTGTAGGTTGTGTATCTTCAGCTGTCGTTATCTTTAATGTGAAATTTGAGAATTTCCAGAAGGCTGCACACATCTGTCGGAAACTTAACATTTCTTTGATCGCCTTCGCTCAGTTGATGGAAAAATTTTAAGGCATTGCAATATTATGTATTCATGTATTTATCATGCGTTGGTGTTCTTCAATGAAATAACAACAACTCAATATGTCAGGTATTTATTTAATATGAATGCATTGTATAATCCTATGTATAGTAACTAAACAGATAGTGTTCAATCCTCATACACGAGGTTATATTTGAGGATAATTTCCGGAGGTAAATACCGTGCAATCTCACACAGAAATGATCTAAGGTTATAATTAATCATATCACTACAAAACTGCTCAATAGTAAAATCTTCTTGTAGTACACAACTTCTGCCCTTCCTCGTATTTCCGAATTAGTCTCCTGATCCTTTCAACCTCGTTATCATCCCAACAAATAGGTATTCTATCGTAGTTTGTTGAATGTTCAGCGTCATGCATCAAATCCGTTAACTGGCACACTAATCTCATGACAGCGGTACGTAGATCCTTTGAATCAGGCCAACGAAATGATGCATAATGCATCCACATCTTGTCAAACCAAAGGGGGTGTACTGCTTCTGGAAAGATAAATATAATGGTCATATCAAGTGGAACATGATATTTGTCAAAACAACTTTACCTGCTGCATTTTCCTAACCCAGTTCAATCTCAACCTTTATATCATTTATACCCAACATATTTGCCTATACTACCTCATATTTTTTTAAACTTATTACTACTGTCAACAAAGTCAAACTTTATCTGTTAGGTATTTCAAGAATATTATTTAGTCACTTATCGATGTTAAATGGCTGAATTTGAATGATCAAAGCTGTTATTGTTTCACCATTATATAATAACTAGCAGAGTTAGATTACCTTACAGCACCGCTCCATACCCTAAGACATTTGAATAACCCAACCACCAGATATATTTCGGGTGGGCCACAAAAAAAAATATATAGTCAACATTTCAATTGTTCTGCACCGAACAGCTGAGAGACTTTACAATCGGCATGGCCATTGTGACGACAACAATGCCTTAACAACACCTTCCATCGACGGGTTCTTTTCTATTATAAACGCGTTTATGATCTGAAGACAGAAGCACGAAAATGTTTTACAGTTCTTGATAAGGGGACCGAACTGCTGTGTGGTTTTACAATTAGCAGGATCATTGAGAGTGTAACAATGCCTTCCTCGAGCTATTTATACGATACAAATTTGTCGAACAACACGTTTTCGATGCTATGAGGATGGTCATTGAGAGGACTTGGAATTTAAACTCCCCCGCCCCTTACCTCACCGGCCCTTTCCACACCTGAGGAGAGTTAGATTACGTTACTGCACAGGTGCATACAAGAGTTTAGGTAGTCTACAAAATATCGCACCACACACGGTGATTGAGAGGGCAACAATGGATTACATCGCCCGTCGACTCCACATTTCTATTAAACGGATCGTTTTTGATGGTATGAGCATGGTCATTGAGAGGAGTCGGCATTTAAACACCCCCCGCCCCTTACCCCACCGCACACGACGATTGAGAGGGCAAAGGATGGCCATATCATCGGATTAAGGTTTGGGCTGACGAGATTGAAGTGGGAAAAGAGCGCTGCTGCTCGTTCGCCCGGTCGATGAGCTATAGTAGTGGGGGAGGGAGGTGGGGGAGGGGGGGGACACTATCCGTCGACTCATTTCTATTAAACAACATGTTTTCGATGCTATTAGGTTGGTCATTGGGAGGACTCGGAATTTAAACACACCCCGCCCCTTACCCCGCTACACAAACCACCCCTTCCCCCCACCCGGGAGGAGTTCCTTTCGGCCTCACACAACTACTTACGTCTTCAAAAATATCCTCTTTCTTTCTTTATTTCTCCCCTTCCCTCACTTTTCATCATCATTGAGAGAGAGATGGTTTGAAAAATGAATACATTCACGCGCTATAATCAGTTTCATTGTTGCTGCAGTGCAGTACTATTTGAACAACATGAAAAATTATTAAACAAAAAACAAACATTAGATATTAATAACAATGATATATTTAAAGATAAGTCTATCAAAAAACATGACGGTGCTGTTTCCTTCAACGTTGCGATGTATTATAGTTGGACCTTCTAATTGTGGAAAAACAAATCTTATGATCAATTTGGTGTGAACATGAAAACTGTTTAAATTTGAAAATGTTTTTGTGTATTCAAAGTCTTTGTATCAACCAAAATATACATATTTGGCAGAATTATTAACACCAATAAAAGGGATAAAATATTTTCCATTCAATGCTAGTGACAACATTGTACACCCTTCAGATGCCAAACCAAATTCCATATTTATTTTTGATGATGTCGCATGCGATAATCAAGATGTTATCAGAGAATATTTCAGCATGGGAAGACATAACAGTATAGATTCTTTCTACTTGTGTCAAACATTGTAGAAATACCTAAACATCTGATAAGGATAATGCCAATATCATTATACTTTTCAAGCAGGATGATTAAACTTAAAACATATATATAATGATAATGTTGGTTCAGATATGTCATTTGATAATTTTAAACGTATATGTACTGTATGTTGGGAAAATTCATATGATTTTTTAGTCATATTTAAAGATTGTAACATTGACAACGGTCGATATAGAAGGGTATAGATCATATTATTTATGGATAATTCTCATCTGATGCGTTCAGAGCAGATAGACAACTGATGAAAACCTGATTCATCACCTGATTACAAGCCGTTCACCACCTGATCGAAGTCTAATTAGCACCTAATGATAGAATGAAGATAATGGGAAGACTTTTAACTGAAAGTAGTCTCAAAGAAAGACCTTATATTGAAGCGTCAAAATGTTCGAGACATTATTTAACTGAACATGGAGAAATGTTACAAGAAGCCTTGTACAATCCCATTACAAAACATTTGAGAAGTATCGAATCTAAACTTAAAAATAATACCAACACGGTACCTGGTAGCTCACCACCACCACCACCACCACCAGCCCCATGTTAATGAGATTAATTCGATAGTTGAGGAATTAAGGGAAAGTAAATATATTGAATAATGGTTAAAACACATAAAACGAACATAAAACGTCAAGTTGTTGGAGAACTACATAAGCCTGCACGCAGAAATTTCCGAAGAAAAAACCATTGTGAAATCTCTAGACGACCTTTTCCAAGCAGATCTTGTAGAAATGATACCATACTCGAGGGAAAATAAAAACAATAAATATATACTGGTTGTGATAAATTGTTTTCGAAATTTATTTGGGCTTTACATTTACAAAATAAAACAGGTAAAGTGGTAACAAAGCTATGGAAGTGTACTAAAACAAGAAACACCTAAGAATCTACAAACAGACGCTGGATTGGAATTTTTCAATAATGATTTTAAAAACCTAATGAAGAAATATAATATCAATCAGTACAATACATTCAGCGAAAAAAAGGCAGCCATTGTCGAAAGAGTAAATCGAACTTTAAAAAATATGACGTGGAAAGAGTTCAGTCTACAGGGAAATTTAAATGGATAAGTATTTTACCAAAACTGATAGAACAATATAAAATAAGAAGCATAGAACTATTCAAATGAAACCAGCTGATGACACAAAGAAGGATGAAAGAAGACTGTTATCTACTGTATATAATCGCTTGAAAATTGTAACTTGAAAACAAATTCAAAGTACGCATTCTAAAATAGATGTGTTTTGACAAGAATATCAGCCAAATTGGTCACCTGAAATTTTCACCATACGACAAGTAACATTAACTAATCCAATTACATATTCGTTGAAAGATGAAAAAAAATCAACATATTTTAGGGGGCTTTTATACAGAACAACTGCAAAAGGTAAAACATCTGATGTTTATCTTATACCAAAATATTGGAGAAAAATGTAGACCACATCAAAGTCAGATGGTTGGGATTCGATAAGAAACATGACAGCTGGATACATAAAAAAATGTTACCTAACAAATTCATATACAGTCTTCTTGTGCAGCGTTTGCGTTCGACATTCAACGGACAAAAAAATGATCATTATCGACGTTCAAGGCTTTACTTGTGGATCCAACTTCATTTGCAAATAAATTGCTATCATGGATACTGCAACGGGATACTGGCAACAAAAATTAGTTAATCTGCCTGTAGAATTTACAATGCTCAACAGTAGCACACAGTCACATATCAACTGGACAGTAAACAATTTACGTGTAATTCCTTGGGATCTATCTCCTTCTGAAGAGTCATGTCTTCATTATGAACAATTGACATCGTTCATTAACGAAAATGTCCACGATGAACCAATTTTTGTCAAGGCACGCTCAAAACAACAATGGTTGGAAAGACTAATCACATCACCGACCTACATGAAATAGGATGCCCAAACCTTCGCAAGCTGAAGAAGATATTCCAGTACAAACATCGTTATAAACATTTGTATAATAATATGCATTGTGCTTTAGAAAATGCTCATTTATTATTTAATTGGAATCTAATGCTTCAAACCAAAAATTGGAATGAATACAATATCACACTACCGCCGTCGTTTCATTTATTTCTCTTCCCATATTATTATTATTAGTATTATTATTATGACTAGAGGATGATTGAAATTAGGCTTGGCTAGGCGAGGCTTGTCTCTTGCATATGCATAAAGCTTTTCTCAATCACTACTCACTTTTCTGTGTCACATGATATTTAGTCCTTTTTTTCTGCATACATGACGCCACGTTTTGGCACATCTCACCCTCTGGTCATTGGCGATACACTTCTTGCATGTCTGCAAAGTCTTCAGATACCCAAGGTCAAATAGAGGGCAAACTAACAGAACCTGTTGCATGGGTTACCAAATGAGTTAGAATCGATGTTGTCCTACTACTGCCATATCTTCTTCGAAGCCGTCGAAGGGGTAGATTTCACCACTTGAACGTCAAAAATGCGTTTTTGGCATTTCTCACCTAGTCAGCAAAAAAGTTACAAGCTGAAAATGAATCAAGAGTATTCCTTTCATTAGTAGCTATAGGGCCACATCTTCTTCGGAGCCGTCGAATGGGTTGATTTCTCCACTTGAACATCAGAAATGCGGTTTTTGGTATTTCTCACCTAACCAGCAAAAAGTTACTGGCTAAAAATGAATAAAAAGTGTTCGTTTCATTAGTAGCTATAAGGCCACATAAATCCCATCTTCTTCGGAGCCGTCGAAGGGGTCGATTTCACCACCTGAACGTCAAAAAAGCGTTTTTGACATTTCTCACCTCGTCAGCAAAAAAGTTACAGGCTGAAAATGAATCAAGAGTGTTCCTTTCATTAGAAGCTATAAGGCCACATTTCGTTCGGAGCCGTCGAAGGGGCTGATTTTACCCCTTGAACGTCAAAAATGCGGCTTTCTGCATTTCTCACCTGACTAAATAAAAAGTTACGGGCTACAAATTAATCAAAAGTGTTCCTTTCATTAGTAGCTATAAGGCCACATCTCCTTCGGGGCCTTCGAAGGGGTTGATTTCACAACTTTAACGTCAAAAATGCGTTTTTGACATTTCTTACCTCTTCAGCAAAAAAGCTAAAGGCTGAAAATGAATCAAGAGTGTTCCTTTCATTAGGAGCTATAAGGCCACATCTCGTTCGGAGCCGTCGAAGGGGTTGATTTCACCACTTGAACGTCAAAAATGCGTTTTTTGCACATCTCACCTAGTCAGCAAAAAAGTTACAGGCTAAAAATGAATCAAGAGTGTTCCTTTCATTAGTAGCTATAAGGCCATGTCTTCTTCGGAGCCGTCGAATGGGTTGATTCCACTACTTGAACGTCAAAAATGCGTTTTTGACATTTCTCACCTCGTCAGCAAAAAAGGTACAGGCTGAAAATGAATCAAGAGTGTTCCTTTCATTAGTAGCTTTAAGGCCACATCTCGTTCGGAGCCGTCGAAGGGGTTGATTTCACCACTTGAACGTCAAAAATGCGTTTTTTGCACATCTCACCTAGTCAGCAAAAAAGTTACAGGCTAAAAATGAATCAAGAGTGTTCTTTTCATTAGTTGCTATAGGGTGGGCCATCTATCGGTTTCGATTTGAACCACGTGTTAATTTGACGCTGACAATACTTATGTCAATCTGATTTGTCATAAAATTCAGTATATTATCTCCGCTGAACGAAATGAATCGATTTACGCTTGAGCAACGTTGGGTAATATTGGAAATTTATTTCCAAAACAAAGACAATTGGGCAGAAATTGCACGAAAATGCCGTTCAAAATTCGGTCGCAACGAAGCACCAACAGCGCCCGGTATACGCAAGTTTATTAATAAAGTGCGTGAAACTGGTTTCATTGTTGATGCTCCAACACGTCAGCGTGCTCGTACAGTGCGTACACCCGAAGGTATCGATGCTGTGGCTGCGAGTGTGCGTGAAAATCCATCAACGTCAACACGTCATCGTTCCCAAGAATTGAACATTTCCCGCACCAGTTTACGACGAATTTTGCGGAAAGATCTCGGTATGACGCCTTACAAAGTTCAATTGGTTCAAGAGTGAAGCCGCGTGACCATCCACTTCGTTCTGCCTTCGCTACATGGGCCAACGAGCAACTAATCAATGATGTCGATTTTGCGAAAAAAATAATCTTTTCAGACGAAGCTCATTTTCATATTGGTGGCTACGTCAATAAGCAAAATTGCCGTATCTGGGGCTCGGAAAACCCACACGAGGTCTTAGAGAAGCCAATGCATCCCTTGCGAGTGACTGTTTGGTGTGGATTGTGGAGCGGAGGCATCATTGGCCCATATTTCTTTGAAGACGGGGACGGCGCAACCGTTTCTGTCAATGGAAACACCTATCGCACCATGATAACTGATTTTTTTGTTCCTGCTCTTGATGGTATTGATGTGGAGAATGTTTGGTTTCAGCAGGATGGTGCAACTTGTCACACATCGCATGCCACAATCAACTTATTGCGCGAAACCTTCGATGGCCGTTTAATCAGTCGAAATGGTGATGTCAATTGGCCGCCAAGAAGCTGCGATTTGACACCATTGGACTATTTCCTGTGGGGCGCTGTTAAAGACAAGTGTTATGTCGACCATCCAGAGACAATTGACCATTTGAAGGCCAACATTCGTGATGCCATTGACGAGATACGGCCCCAAACACTCGAAAAAGTGCTCGAAAATTGGTCCGATCGAATGGGCTACTGTGAGGCCAGCCGCGGCAGCCATTTGAATGAAGTAATATTTCATTTCTGAGCGGAACAATTGTACTTCAAAACAAAAAAATAAATTTGGCAATATCTCAAACCGTTTTTGTTTTATTTTATTTTTAAATCGAAACTTTTAAATGGCCCACCCATTATAAAGCAACATCTTCTTCGGAGACGCCGAAGGGGTCGATTTCACCACTTGAACATCAATAATGCGTTTCTTGCATTTCTCACCTAGCCAGCAAAAAGGTTACAGGATAGAAATGTATAAAAAGTGTTCCATGTGTTAGTAGCTACAAGGCCACATAGATACTATCTTCTTCGGAGCCGTCGAAGGGGTTGATATTACCCCTTGAACGTCAAAAATGCGGTTATCTGGATTTATCACCTGCCAGCAAAAAAGTTACTGGTTAAAAATGAATCAAAAGAGCTCCATGTGTTAGTAGCTATAAGGCCACATAGATACTATCGTCTTCGGAGCCGTCGAAGGAGTTGATCTTACCACTTGAACGTCAAAAATGCGTTTTTTGCGTTTCTCACCTAGCCAGGAAAACTTACATGCTAAAAATGAATAAAAAATGCTGCTTTCATTAGTAGCTATAAGGCCACACAGATCATATCTTCTTCGAAGCTGTTGAAGGGGCTGATTTTACCCTTGAACTTAAAAAATGCGGCTTTCTGCATTTCTCACCTGACTAGATAAACAGTTACAGGCTAAAAATTAGTCAAAAGTGTTCCGTTCATTAGTAGCTATAAGGCCACATAGATCTCATCTCCTTCGGAGCCGTCGAAAAGGTTGATTTCACCGCTTGAACGTCAAAAATGCGGTGTTTGGCATTTCTCACCTAGCCAGCAAAAAGCTACAGGCTAAAAATGAATCAAGAGTGCTCCTTTCATTACCAGTTATAAGACCACATCTTCTTCGGAGCCTTCGAAGAGGTTGATTTCACCACTTTAACGTCAAAAATGCGTTTTTGACATTTCTCACCTGGCCAGCAAAAAGTTACGGGCTAAAAATGAATCAAGAGTATTCCTTTTCTTAGTAGCTATAGGGCCACATCTTCTTCGGAGCCTTCGAAGGAGTTGGTTTCACCACTTGAACGTCGAAAATGCGTTTTTTGCATTGCTTACCTAGCCAGCAAAAAGGTTACAGGCTGAAACTGAATCAATAGTGTTCCTTTCATTAGTAGCTATAAGGCCACATCTTCTTCGCAGCTATCGAAGGGGTTGCATTTACCACTTGAAGGTCAAAATGCGTTTTTGCGTTTCTCACCTAGCCAGCAAAAAGTTACAGGCTAAAAATGAATCAGAAGTGCTTCTTTCATTAGTAGCTATAAAACCATACAGGACCTATCTTCTTCGAAGCTGTCGAATGGGTTGATTTCTCCACTTGAACATCAAAAATGCGGTTTTTGGCATTTCTTACCTAACCAGCAAAAAGCTACTGGTTAAAAAGTGTTCCTTTCATTAGAAGCTATAAGGCCACATCTCGTTCGGAGCCGTCGAAGGGGTTGATTTCACCACTTGAAAGTCAAAAATGCGTTTTTTGCGTTTGTCACCTAGCCAGCAAAAAGTTACAGGCTAAAAATGAATCAAAATTGTTCCATGTATTAGTAGCAATAAGGCCACATAGATCCTATCTTCTTCGGAGCCGTCGGAGGGGTTGATTTTACCCATTGAACGTCAAAAATGCATTTTTTGGATTTCTTACCTAGCCAGCTAAAAATGAATCAAGGGTGTTCCTTTTATTAGTGGCTATAAGGCCACATCTTCTTCGGAGCCTTCGAAGGGGTTGATTTCACCACTTTAACGTCAAAAATGCGTTTTTGACATTTCTCACCTCGTCAGCAAAAAAGTTACAGGCTGAAAACGGATCAAAAGTGTTCCTTTCATTAGGAGCAATAAGGCAACATCTCGTTCGGAGCCGTCAAAGGGGTTGATTTCACCACTTGAACGTCAAAAATGCGTTTTTGGCATTTCTCACCCCGTCAGCAAAAAAGTTACATTCTGACAATGAATCAAGGGTGTTCCTTTCATTAGAAGCAATAAGGCCACGTCGAAGAGGTTGATTTCACCTTTTGAAAGTCAAAAATGCGTTTTTTGCATTTCTCAACTAGCCAGCAAAAAGTTACAGGCTAAAAATGAATCAAAAGTGTTCCATGTATCAGTAGTAATAAGGCCACATATATCCTATCTTCTGCGGAGCCGTCGGAGAGGTTGATTTTACCCCTTGAACGTCAAAAATGCGGTTTTCTGAATTTCTCACCTGGCCAGCAAAAAAGTTACAGGCTAAAAATGAATCAAGAGTGTTCCTTTCATTAGTAGCTATAGGGCCACATCTTCCTCGAAGCTGTCGAATGGGTTGATTTCTCCACTTGAACATCAGAAATGCGGTTTTTGGCATTTCTCACCTAACTAGCAAAAAGTTACTGGCTAGAAATGAATAAAAAGTGTTCCTCTCATAAGGCCACATAAATCCCGCCTTCTTAGGATCCGGCGACGGGGTTGATTTCACCACTTGAACCTGGCCAGCAAAAAAGTTACAGGCTAAAAATGAATCAAGAGTATTCCTTTCATTAGTAGCTATAGGGCCACATCTTCTTCGGAGCCGTCGAAGGGGTTGAATTTACCACTTGAACGTCAAAAATGCGTTTTTTGCGTTTCTCAGCTAGCCAGCAAAAAAGTTACTGGCTAAAAATGAATCAGGGTGTTCCTTTCAATAGTAACTATAAGGCCACATCTATGGAACCGTCGAATGGGTTGATTTCACTTCTTGAACGACAAAAATGCGTTTTTGGCATTTCTCACCTAGTCAGCAAAAGAGTTACAGCCTAGAAATGAATCAAAAATGTTCCATGTACATATATTAGTAGTAATAAGGCCACATAGATCCTATCTTCTTCGGAGCCGTCGGAGAGTTTGATTTTACCCCTTGAACGTCCAAAAAGCGGTTTTCTGAATTTATCACCTGCCAGCAAGAAAGTTACCAGCTAGAAATGAATAAAAAGTGCTCCATGTGTTAGTAGCTATAAGGCCACATAGATCCTATCTTCTTCGGAGCCGTCGGAGAGTTTGACTTTACCCCTTGAACGTCCAAAAAGCGGTTTTCTGAATTTATCACCTGCCAGCAAGAAAGTTACCAGCTAGAAATGAATAAAAAGTGCTCCATGTGTTAGTAGCTATAACGCCACATAGATACTATCTTCTTCGGACCCGTCGAAGGGGTTGATTTCACCACTTGAACGTCTAAAATGCGGTTTTGGCATTTGTCACCTAACCAGCAAAGAGTTACCGGCTAGAAATGAATAAAAAGTGTTCCATGTGTTAGTAGCTATAAGGCCACATAGATACTATCTTCTTCGGAGCCATCGAAGGGGTTGATATTACCCCTTGAACGTCAAAAATGCGGTTTTCTGAATTTATCACCTGCCAGCAAAAAATGTACTGGCTAAAAATCAATGAAGAGTGTTCCTTTCATTAGTAGTTATAAGGCCACATCTACGGAGCCGTCGAAGGGGTTGAGTTTACCACTTGAACGTCAAAAATGCGTTTTTTGCATTTCTCAGCTAGCCAGCAAAGAAGTTACTGGCTAAAATGAATCAAGGGTGTTCCTTTCATTAGCAACTATAAGGCCACATCTTCGGAGTCGTCGAAGGGGTTAAATTTACCACTTGAACGTCAAAAATGCGTTTTTTTGCGTTTCTCAACTAGCCAGCAAAAAAGTTACAGGCTAAAAATGAATCAAAAGACTTTCATGTGTTAGTTGCAATTATGCCACATAGATACTATCTTCTTCGGAGCCGTCGAAGGGGTTAATATTAGCCATTGAACGTCAAAAATGAGGTTTTCTGAATTTATTACCTGCCAGCAAAAAAGTTACTGGCTAAAAATGAATCAAGAGTGTTCCTTTCATTAGTAGCTATAGGGCCACATCTTCGGAGCTGTCGGATGGGTTGATTTCACTACTTGAACGTCAAAAAAGCCTTTTTGCATTTCTCACCTAACCAGCAAAAAGGTTACAGACTAAATATGAACCAAAATGTTCTTTTTATCAGTAGCTATAAGGCCACATAAATCCCATTCTGTTCGGAGGCGTCGAAGGGGTTGATTTCACTACTTGAACGTCGAAAATGCTGTTTTTTGCATTTATCACCTAGCCTGAAAAAAGTTACAAGCTAAAAATTTATCAAAGGTGTTCCTTTCATTAGCAGCTATAGGGCCACATTGACCTCATCGTCGGAGTCGTCGAAGGAGCTGATTTCACCACTTGAACGTAAAAAATGCGTTTAATGCACTTCTCACCTAGTCAGCAAGAAAGTTACAGGCTAAAAATGAATCAAGAGTGTTCCTTTCATTAGTAGCTATAAGGGAAAATGAATCAAGAGTGTTCCTTTCGTTAGTAGCTATAAGGCCACATAGATCTCACCTACGCAGCCGTCGAAGGGGTTGATTTCACCACTTGAACATCAAAAATGCGTTTCTTGCATTTCTCACCTGGCCAGCAAAAAAGTTACAGGCTAAAAATGAATCAAGAGTATTCCTTTTATTAGTAGCTATAGGGCCACATCTTCTTCTCAGCCGTCGAAGGGTTTGATCTCACCACTTGAATGTCGAAAATGCGTTTTTTTGCATTTCTTACCTAGCCGGCAAAAAGGTTACAGGTAAAAATGAATCAAAAGTGTTCCTTTCATTAGTAGCTATAAGGCTATACAGAACCTATCTTCTTCGGAGCCGTCGAACGGGTTGGTTTCACCACTTGAACGTTAAAAATGCGTTTTTGCCATTTCTCACCTAGTCAGCAAAAAGGTTGGCTGAAAATGAATCAAGAGTATTCCTTTCATTAGTAGCTATAAGGCCACATCTCCTTCGGAGCCGTCGAAGGGTTGAATTTACCACTTGAACGTCAAAAATGCGTTTTTGCGTTTCTCAACTAGCCAGCAAAAAGTTACAGGCTAAAAATGAATCAAAAGAGTTCCATATGTTAGTTTTCATAGGGCCACATGGATATTATCTTGTTCGGAGCCGTCGAAGGGGTTGATATTACCCCTTGAACGTCAAAAATGCGGTTTTCTGAATTTATCACCTGCCAGCAAAAAAGTTTCTGGCTAAAAATGAATCAAGAGTTTTCCTTTCATTAGTAGCTATAGGCCACATCTTCGGAGCCGTCGAAGGGGTTGAATTTATCACTTGAACGTCAAAAATGCGGTTTTCTGCATTTCTCACCTAGCCTGAAAAAAAGTTACAGGCTAAAAATTTATCAAAGTGTTCCTTTCATTAGTAGCTATAAGACCACATTAAACCTCATTGTCGGAGCCGTCGAAGGAGTTGATTTCACCACTTGAACGTCAAAATGCATTTTTTGGCCTCTCTCACCTAGTCAGCAAAAAAGTTACAAGCTGAAAATAAATCAAGAGTGTTCCTTCATTAGTAGCTATAAGACCACATCTTCGGAGCCATCGAAGGGGTTGAATTTACCACTTGCACGTCAAAAATGCGTTTTTGCGTTTCTCAACTAGCCAGCAAAAAAGTTACAATCTAAAAATGAACCAAAAGAGTTCCATGTGTTAGTTGCCATAGGGCCATTATCTTCTTCGGAGCCGTCGAAGAGGTTGATATTACCCCTTGAACGTCAAAGATGCGGTTTTCTGAATTTATCACCTAACCTGAAAAAAAGTTACAGGCTAAAAATTTATCAAAAGTGTTCCTTTCATTAGTAGCTATAAGACCACATTAACCTCATCGTCGGAGCCGTCGAAGGAGTTGATTTCACCACTTGAACATCAAAAATACGGTTTTTGGCATTTCTCACCTAAACAGCAAAAAGTGACCGGCTAGAAATGAATAAAAAGTGTTCTTTCATTAGTAGCTATAAGGCCATACAGGACCTGTCTTCTTCGGAGCCGCCCAAGGGGGGTTTTTGCATTTCTAACCTAGTAAGCAACAAACTAAAAGTTACAGGCTAAAAATGAATCAAGAGTGTTCTTTCATTAGTAGCTATAAGGAGCCATCGAAGGGGTTGAATTCACCACTTGAACGTCAAAAATGCGTTTTTTGCGTTTCTCAACTAGCCAGCAAAAAAGTTACAGCTAAAAATGAACCAAAAGAGTTCCATGTGTTAGTTTGCCATAGGGCCACGTGGATATTATCTTGTTCGGAGATGTCGAAGGGGTTGATTTCACCCCTTGAACGTCAAAAATGCGTTTTTCACATTTCTCACCACGCGTTTTTGCGTTTCTTACCTAGCCAGGAAAAAGTTACAGGCTGATGAATCAAGAGTGTTCCTTTCATTAGTCGGTATAAGGCCATACAGGACCTGTCTTCTTCGGAGCCGCCCAAGGGGGGTTTTTGCATTCTACCTAGTAAGCAACAAACTAAAAGTTACAGGCTAAAATGAATCAAGAGTGTTTCTTTCATTAGTAGCTATAAGACCACATCTTCGGAGCCATCGAAGGGGTTGAATTTACCACTTGAACGTCAAAATGCGTTTTTTGCGTTTCTCAACTAGCCAGCAAAAAAGTTACAGGCTAAAAATGAACCAAAAGAGTTCCATGTGTTAGTTGCCATAGGGCCACATAGATATTATCTTCTTCGGAGCCGTCGAAGGGGTTGATTTCACCACTTGAACGTTTAAAATGCGTTTTTTGCACTGCTCACCTAGTCAGCCAAAAAGTTACAGGCTAAAAATGAATCAAGGGTGTTCCTTTCATTAGTAGATGTAAGGCCATATCTTCTTCGGAGCCGTCGAAGGGGTTTATTTCACCCCTTGAACGTCAATAATGCGTTTTTGACATTTCTCACCACGCGTTTTTTCCGTTTCTCACCTGGCCAGGAAAAAGTTACAGGCTGATGAATCAAGAGTGTTCCTTTCATTAGTCGGTATAAGGCCACATCTCCTTCGGAGCCGTCGAAGGGGTTGATTTCACCACTTAAGCGTTAAAAATGCGTTTTTTGCATTTCTCACCTGGCCAGCAAAGAATTTGATTTCACCACTTGAACATCAAAAATGTGGTTTCTGTCATTTCTCACCTTAACAGCAAAAAGTTACCGGGCTAGAAATAAATAAATAGTGTTCCTTACATTAGTAGCTATAAGGCCATACATGACCTGTCTTCTTCGGAGCCGCCGAAGGGGTTGATTTCACTACTTGAACGTCGAAAATACGTTTTTTGCATTTCTTACCTAGCCGGCAAAAAGCTTTCAGGCTAAAAATGAATCATTAGTAGCTTGATTTCTCCACTAGAACATCAAAAATGGGGTTTTTGGCATTTCTTACCTAACCAGCAAAGAGTTACCGGCTAGAAATAAATGAAAAGTGTTTCTTTCATTAGTAGCTATAAGGATATACAAGACCTATCTTCTTCGAAGCCGTCGAAAGGACTGATTTCACAACTTGAACGTCGAAAATGCGTTTTTTGCACATCTTGCCTATCCGGAAAAAAGAATACAGGCTAAAAATAAATCATTAGTAGCTATAGGGCCACATCTTCTTCGGAGCCGTCGAATGGGTTGATTTCTCCGCTAGAACATCAAAAATGCGGTTTTTGGCATTTCTCACCTAACCAGCAAAGAGTTACCGGCTAGAAATAAATGAAAAGTGTTCCTTTCATTAGTAGCAATAAGGCCATACAGGACCTATCTGCTTCGAAGCCGTCGAAAGGATTGATTTCCAACTTGAACGTCGAAAATGCGTTTTTTGCATTTGTTACCTAGCCAGCAAAAAAGTTACAGGCTAAAAATGAATCAAAAGAGTTCCATGTGTTAGTTGCTATAAGGCCACATAGATACTATCCTTCGGAGCCGTCGAAGGGGTTGATATTACCTCTTGAACGTCAAAAATGCGGTTTTCTGAATTTATCACCTGCCAGCAAAAAAGTTACTGGCTAAAAATGAATCAGGAGTATTCCTTTCATTAGTAGCTATAAGGCCACATAGATCTCATCTTCGGAGCCGTCGAAGGGGTTGATTTCACCACTTGAACATCAAAAATGGGTTTTTTGCACTTCTCACCTAGTCAGCAAAAAAGCTACAGGCTTAAAATGAATCAAGAGTATTCCTCTCATTAGCAGCTAAAGGGCCACATCTTCTTCGGAGACGTCGAATGGGTTTATTTCTGCAATCGAACATCAAGAATGCGGTTTTTGGCATTTCTCACCAAACAGCAAAGAGTTTACCGGCTAGAAATGAATAAAAGTGTTCCTTTCATTAGTAGCTATAAGGCCATCCACAAAGCGTGTCTTCTTCGGAGCCGCCCAAGGGGTTGATTTCACCACTTGGACGTCGAAAATGCGTTTTTTTGCAATTCTTACCTAGCCAGCAAAAAGGTTACAGGCGAAAAATGAATCAAAAGTGTTCCTTTCATTAGTAGCTATAGGGCCACGTCTTCTTCGGAGCCGTCGAATGGGTTGATCTCTCCACTTGAATATCAGAAGTGCGGTTTTTGGTATTTCTCAACTAACCAGCAAAAAGTTACTGGTTAAAAATAATAAAAAAGTGTTCCTTTCATTAGTAGCTATAACGCCACATAAATCCCATCTTCTTCGGAGCCGTCGAAGGGATTGATTTCACCCCTTGAACGTCAAAATGCGTTTTTGACATTTCTCACCTCGTCAGCAAAAAGTGTCAGGCTGAAAATGAGTCAAGGGTGTTCCTTTCATTAGGAGCTATAAGGCCACATCTCCTTCGGAACCTTCGAAGGTGTTGATTTCACCACTTTAACGTCAAAAATAGGTTTTTTGCGTTTCTCACATAGCCAGGAAAAACTTACAGGCTGATGAATCAAGAGTGTTCCTTTCATTAGTCGGTATAAGGCCACATATTATTATTATTATTATTAATTATAATTACTATTATTTTAATTAATATATTATTATTATTATTTATTATTTTATTATAATAATATTTTATATTATTTATTATTATTATTATTATTATATTATTATTATTTTTTTTTTTTTTTTTTTTTTTTTTTTTTTTTTCCACGGCTTCGACAGATGATGTCAGTTGCCGTATCCCTCCTCCACATATAGGACATGTCATTGTCACCCAGGGGGTAGATCTGAGTGCATTTTTATCACAGGTAATATCAATCATCAATATATATTTAAAGTCTCAATATATTTAATAGGTGGGTTCTTTTCTCACTTTTCAAGTATCACACAGTGTGTGTCTTGGATACTGAATATATGTTAAGTACCACATCGAGTAGAGAATAGTAGGTAACTGGCATGTACGTTTTATTATGCTTATATGTCACATGGTTTTAGTTATTGGTTTATTTGTATAAGCTATTTTATGGAATATCTTATTCAGGGTTTAACAAGTGTATCATCTTACATGTTTATATTTTCAGGAAAACTTTGTATTTCTCTTAAGAAGTTAAGGATGTTATCATGCTACCGGCGTCATTGCCACAGAGCCCACGTTGTAGGCTGTTAATAATGTCAAACGATTGGCGGACTCTAGAATATGTTGGGCATTCCAAGAATATGTGGTCAATTGTTAGCTGAGTTTGGCAGTTTTCGCATTGCGGTGGATCCAGGCCGCGAATGAGATGCATGTGTGTTATGTTGCAATGGCCTATGCGTAATCGTGTAAGCGTCACCTCTTCTCTTCGTGGTAGTGATGGGAGGTGCCATTTTTTAAACTGTAGGTTTGTATCTTTTGAGGGTAGTGTCGCATCCGTTCCATCTCTCTTGCATACAGACATCAACTTATTCTTCAGAACATTTTTCAGGTCTTCGGGTGGACCAGGTTGTTGGCGTTGACAGTATCGGTGCTGCTTCACGGGCCAATTCGTTAGCCTTTCATTACCTGGAATCCCTACATGACCTGGAGACCATATAAAGATAACATATTTCCGATCTGATTCCAGTAAGACAAGCCAATGAAGTATTTCTTGAACCAATGGGTCAAGGAATTTTTGGCAGATATAGATTGAATGGCACTAAAGGAATCGCTGCAGATTAGGTAAGGTACCTGCTTCATTGAGGTTATTTATATATCCAGTGCTTTAAGCAATGCAAGTTGCTCGGCTCTGAAACCGAGGTCATGGGATGTAGTTTAAATTTTTGCTCGTGTCCCCGTTGATGTATAGGCACATCCAACGCTATCAGCTAACTTTGATCCATCAGTATATATAATATTGTTACCGTTTGTGTAACTATTTACAGTGTCATTAAACAATGCAAGAAATAAGGAGCTATTGGTTTCATCCTTCTTGTACCGTGCACACTGCAAGTCCAATACAGGTTTGTTTATTGTCCATGGTGGCGTTGAGCTATGTTTTAGATTATAAACGTCAGGAAGTTCGAGGTCGATGCTATTCAAAATTTCTTGAATCCTTACACCTGAAGGTCGTGTTATGGTAGGTCTGTCCAGGAAGGTTTGGTTGATTGCTTGGTCGTATAGGATGTTGTAGTTGGATGAGGTGGGTGTGACCAAATCTTACACTATAATTCATAGTCAACTGCTGGAGCCTTATATCAAGAGGAGGAATACCTGAATCGCAGTATAACCGCTGACGAGGGACTTGTTCGAAAAGCTCCGATACATAATCGCAGACATTGGTTATGTATCTTTCCAAGTGTCGTAGATGAGATTTCCTTGCGGCTCCATAGATGATTAATCCATACTCGATTTTAGACAGAACAAGTGACCGATATAACGAGAGAAGGGTATCCCTGTCAGCACCCCAGTTTATGTTCGATATGCATTTCAAGATGTTCATAGACTTTTGCATTTCACCATCAGATTATTGACGTGTTCTTTCCAATACAGCTTTCTGTCGAAAGTTAGCCCCAAAAGCTTAACAGTATCATCGATCTGTATTGCGGTGTTTCTCAATAGCAGGTGAGGATGTTGTGAGCAGTTCGTAGCCGACAAAAATGAATGGCGGTGGTTTTTGATGCTGAGAAGCGGAAACCAATACTTTGAGCTTCTGTAACTAGGCTGTTTATTGCTGCTTGGAGTTTAATCTCGATGTTCGACATATCTTTGTCCGAGTAGAAGATCGTGAGGTCGTCTACGTATAAACATTTCCAATGTCTGGATCTATTGTACCTATAAGACGGTTTATAGCTATCAGGAATAGCGTTACGCTGATGGTGGAACCTGAGGTATACCGTTCTCGAGAGTATGCGGCTGAGAGAGGTGTTTTGCCGAGCCGGACTTTGAATGTTCGGTTTTCTAGGAACTTGGAAATGAATTTGAGCATATTACCTCGTATACCCCATTCATGTAAGGTGTTGAGTATTCCTCGTCTCCATGTTGTGTCATAAGCTTTTTCTAAGTCAAAGCAAACAGATACCAAATGTTTTCTTTCGGCAAAGGATTGTTGAATAGCCGTGTCTATATGAGCCAATTGATCTAAAGTGGATCTAAACTTTCGGAAACCCATCTGGTAATCCGAAAGTAGACCGTTCGTTTCTAAAAACCAGACCAGTCTTCTATTAATCATCTTTTCGAGGAGTTTACTAATGCAACTAGTGAGTGATATGGGTCGGTAGTTGCTAGGGTTTTTAGGGTCCTTTCCAATTTTTGGAATAGCCACTATGATGGCTTCATGCCATTGCTCAGGGTATATGCCTTCACTCCAAATACGGTTGAATAGTTCCAGGAGTGTAAGCTGTTCGCTTTCAGGAAGATGCTTAAGCATGTCGTAGTGGATGTTGTCTGAACCAGTTGATGAAGAATTAACCTCGTTAAGAGCGTTTTGCAGTTCTAGCAATGTAAAAGGTACGTTGTATACCAATAACGAGTCATCAACTATTTCCAATATATTTTTTTCAGCCTTAGTCTTTTTAGCTACGAAGGCAAGATTATAGCTATCCGAACTGCTTGTCTCTTGGAATTGTGTAGCTAATATATTACAAATGTCTTCATAGTTTGTAATTTCTATATTGTTGACTAGCAGTATAGGGGATGGAGCTTGGAAATGCTTTCCTTGAATACTTCTGATTTTGTGCCAGACTTCCGATGGTGGTGTTTCTTTAGATATATGTGACACGTATTCTTGCCATGATGATTTTTTACTTTTTAAAATTATGCGACGAGCTTCCGCTCTTCTTTTCTTGAATTCAATTAAGTTGTTAGTAGAGAAGTTGCGTTTGAATTCTCTTAAGGCCTTATTTTTTTCTTTGACTGCTTTTCCAATCTTATCGTTCCACCATGGCACTTGCACATTTTTGATGTTACCACTTTTTTTGGGAATACTGAGGTTCGCTGCACTAACTATGGCAGATGTTATAGACTGCACCGAGTCGTGTATGTTATCCTTTAAAAGGAGTTCACCAATATTATTTTTGTAAGTATCCCAATTGGCTTTCTTGATGTTCCAGGTTGTATGGAATGTTCTTTCTGGACATTTTGAAGCAAAAGTGATATTTATTGGCACATGGTCGGAGTACAGATGTTCAGGCATAGTTTTCCATTCCAAGGATGATGCCAGACTTGGTGAGCAGATGGACAGATCGATACTAAAGCAGTTAGACCTGGAGTTGAGGTAAGTTCCATCTCCTGTATTTAAAATAATCAACTCTGATTCTTCGCAGATTCTTTCGATTATACGACCTCGAACATCAAGTTGTTGTGATCCCCATAGAGGATTGTGTGCATTAAAGTCGCCCACTATGATATATGGAGTAGGCAGTTGAGTAATTATGTTATTAATCTGCTCTTCATTCCAATTGAAATCTGGTAAGTATATATTACATATTGTTATTTTAAATGGAAAAAGCGATTGTGCTGCTACCGCCTGTAGTGGGGTTTGAATGTGTACCTCAGTTGCCTGTAATTCACTTTTTATGAAAATTGCCACGCCTCCTTTAGATCGGTTTGTCGGGATTACGTCTTTCCTGAAACAGTTGAAGCCCCGCAGGTTGAAGTTGGTTTCAGGAGAAAAATGAGTTTCCTGGATACATATGCAAAAGGGTGCCACTTCCGAGACTATCAATTTTAGTTCAGGGTAGTGTGCACAGCATCCGTTCATGTTCCATTGTATTAGTGAAGACATTATGACTAGTTTGTTAAAAGAAACAGTTCGTTAGTTTGTTGTGGAGCTCAAAAGGGGCATATATATATACTCGTGGAATAGATAAATAAATAAGCTAATAAATAAATGAATAAATAAATAAATAGCTTAATAAGTAAAATTATAAATAGTCTATAGAAAAAAAAATATATAGTATATGTATAAATAAGATCAGATGTACTCACATATACACACATACATACATACACATACGAACGTAAATATATAATAAAATTTATGTAGAAAATATCACAGGTGGCTATATCTCAATGGTAAGGTCAGTATTTGACTGGCTTCAGTTTCTTGATCACTTCTTGCGAGTTGGGAGGCCGCCTGGGTTTCCCTTTCGGCCAGCCTCTTTTCTTTTTAGTAGAAGTTGATGCTTCACTGATATGTGATGATACACTTTCATCGGTATCATCGTCCCTTGTTCGGGTTCTGGTACGCTTCCTTTTTTCGGCTACAGAAGGTTGCGTAGATGTATCAGAAAAATATTGACCGGGAGGTAAGAAGGAATTAGTATTAAAATTATGCTTCTTGGTACTGATTATGTTATCCAGGGTTTCTTTTATTTTACTCTCAATAGACTTAGTTAATTGCGGTAATAACTCTTGTATTATATTATTAATTGACGTACTTGTGGTCGCCGCAATTTCGGAGTAGGATTTTTGAGGAATGGGCCTGATTACTTTTTTCTTTGCTTCTAGATAGCTCAGTTTTTCCATAGTCCTAACTTTTTGAATCGCTATTTCCTCCTTCATCTTAGGGCAAGCTCTTGAATTGGCTGCGTGTTCACCTTCACAATTAACGCAATGCATAGGTGTGTCGCAAGGTGTTGTATCATGTTTGGGTCGTCCGCATATACATATCTCAGAATTTGAGCATCTTTGCGAAGTATGCCCAAACCTCTGACATTTAAAACATCTTAGGGGGTTTGGGAAATAAGGACGCACTTCGAGAGAGTAAAAGGCAGCTTTAACTTTTGAGGGTAGTTTAGGTTTGTCGAAAGTCAATAATAAGTTAGGCGTTTCGACAAGTGAGTCACCTTGTTTACGCATCAAACGTTTAACTTCGACCACACCTTCTGGTTCTAAACCCTCCAATATTTCTTCGGTAGAACTGTTAAGAAAATCTGCACATGTGATTATACCCTTTGAGTAATTGAGTGTACTATGTGGTTTTATTTCAACAATGAATTCGCCTATTTTAGTCACTTTAAGGAGTCTAGACGCTTGATGAGCGGTAACAGTTTCCACTAATAATCCGGTCTTAATTTTCTTAATTGATTTCAATTCGCCAACAATTCCAAATAACAATTTCGACAGCAAGAAGGGGCTAACCTTATCGAAGTTGCCCCCATCGATTCTTTCGACCACCAGGAACCGGGGGATGTTTCCCTCCTTTCCCTGGCTGATCTTGGCCGCTGACGCGGTTGAAATCCCAGTTTTAGGGGTGTTTTGGGTTTTTGCGAGTGAATCCCGATCACTGCCCACTTTTAAGGTAGTGGGTGCACCTGAATCTTGTTTAGGCTGTTCCATAAGATTTTCCAAAAATTTCACCTTCCCGGCTCCCCACCCTCCACGGAGCCTCATTGGGAGGTTATGCCCATAATAGCATCCCGCTAAGGCACAACCCCAGGGATACCGCTAATCCGAAGGAAAGGAAGGTATAGTCCCCCCAGGTAGTTCCACCATACATCGAGAATAGCGAACTATTCCCGTCTGGCTTCTACTACCTGTGGAGGCTCGCCCAACCAGCCCTCTGACGGGATGGCACAGCCGATTGACCGACGCTGGGCTAGGCGCGGCCGCCCTTCTAGACTGACCGCCGGACCAAAGTGGCGTGTTGCCCCCCTGACTGGTAGGGCTCAACCACCAGGATTCCATTGGCCAGCTTACGGGTCGCCGGGCACGGCACAAACACCCGGGAGGCTAAGAGGAAGCTCCACGCGCCGCCTCAACGCATGGGGTAAGGATAGGAGAAGGAAAGTCGGGAGAGCAACAGACAGCTGCACAGGATATAATAAAAGGAGAAAGGATGGGAGAACGAGGGGGGGATAAGCCCAGGGTTTGGCAGAATGAATAAGACTGCCAAACCCCGAACTCCCTGCCTGGGGCCGTGGGGGCGACGCTCCCCATGTATCTTCCTTTGAAACCGGATCAAAGATCCAGCTCCAAAAGTAGATACCCCCTGCGGGGTATTTTATTATTATTATATTATATTATATATATATATTATTATTATTTTTATTATTTATTATTATTATTATTAATATTATATTTTATTATATTATTATTATTATTATATATTATTGTTATTATTATATATATATATTATTATTATAATATATTATTTTGTTTTATTATATTATTATATATTATTTTATTATATATATTATATATATTGTTATTATTATTTTATTATTTTATATATTATTATTATTATATTATTATTATTATTATTATTATTATAATTATTATTATTATTATTCTTATTGAGTGCCCTTTGAAAGCAGCGCATCCAGCACAGCAATACCGGCAATACCATGTTACAAAGTTGGATGTAAACACTGAAGTACAGATATTAGCCGATTACCTGAAGGGCTTTGCACCGTCAGTACGGGTCGAACAGCTGAATGCCAAATACCCGGAGAGCTACAATCCTTCAAGGTGACATTGCCTGCTACGAGGCCGACAGTATCCTCAAGAGCGACAATTGGCCGGATGGGGTAATCATCAATCGGTTTTTTCCAGCAAGAAGATCAGCTACTTCAATGGGACAGCAAACGCCTGCGAACTGCATATCAACGTACAGGGCCTGCCAAGCAAGATTGACGATCTAAATTTGTGGTTGAGTGACAAATCTGTAGACGTCTTATGCGTGTCTGAACACTGGCTTAGTGATGAGCTTTGTCGTTGGTAAATATCAATCATTAGATCTTGTATCATGTTTTTGTCGCCCCCAAAGTCGCATGGAGGTGTAGCAATTTTTTCCCGAACTAATCACCATATGAAGACTTTGAATGTAAATGACTTTGTATTCCTTTCCATGCAGAGTTTTGTGGGGCAACAATACACAACATTGCCATTATAACCGTTTACAGATCATCCAGTGCAGGTAATTTTCGTTATTTAACGACGCTCTTCATAGCCTACTAGATAATATTTATCCAAAATACAAAAATTTGTTAATTCTAGGTGATTTTAATCTAGATTTTAATAGTAACATTGAGGCAGTAAAGTACCTCCGTGATATTACTATTACATTTGGCTTGAGCCATTATATTAATGAAAATACCAGAATTACACCTACATCGGCTTCTTCCTTGGATAACATATTAACTAACCTGGGCAACGGTAATATAGTGACAGGTACGATTGATCTGAATATTTCTGACCACTTAGGAATTTTTTGTGATTTTTGTATATTACAAGATGAGATTCATTCAATCAAATCGCCCAAAAGACGCATTAATACAAAAAAAGAATGGTTTCATTTGCCAACAGAATCCATAGTATGGCGTCCGACATGAATGTAGATTCTAACTCTGCAGATAACATGGCAAATAGCATCTACCGTTTAATATCAAACTGTATCGATAATTGTTTTCCGTTAAAAGCTGTGGATAGCTCACAAAGTTAAGTGGTATACGCAAACACTGAAGCAGCTAAGGAAAGATATGGTGATCGCAAAGAGCCAGTTTTCGCATAGTGGGGATGAGCGTGATTGGGAGAGGTATAAGGATATACCTAGAATACACCGTCAAAAATTGAAATTGGAAAAAAATGAACTTTTACTCCGAAATGATACACCAGGCGGAAAATAAAACTAAAGCAATCTGGAAGATAGTCGATAGCGAGAGAGGCATCAGGAAACAGAAACACAAAAATGTCTCAAGTGATGAATTCAATAGTTTTTTCAGCACTATTTCTTGTAAAATCCTTGAGGGCATTGAAAAGCCTACTATTAATTACTATCTCCTCAACCGTACTCCCAAGACACTGCATTCATTCTTCATGTCTGCGATACTCCAAACAGATGTGAGATGTGCTATAGCTCAACTAAAAAACTCACCCACACTCGACTTAGCCAGTGAGGATTTCATTGATCCTTTAACAATACTATTTATAAGTGTGTTAATGAAGGCGTGTGGCCTGATGCTTTTAAATTGTCAAAGGTCATTCCCATTCATAAGAAAGGGAATGAAGATAATCTCGATAACTATAGGCCCATCACAATAATTCCATTAATAAGTAAATTATTCGAAATTGTAGTCAAAGAAAAATTAATAAAGTACTTTGAAAAGAACTCCCTCCTTTCAGCTTCCCAATTTGGTTTTCGGAAGCACTGTTCAACCATAAAAGCCATGCTTAGTTTTCTTGAGGATGCATTAGAGTGCATTGACAAGAGAACCACCGCTCTAGCAACTATGTGTAACTTAACCAAGGCTTTTGACTGCGTAGACACAGCTATACTGCTTGACAAATTGAAGTACTATGGGATCCGTGGCAAGTCATCACAGCTTATGAGATCATACTTAGTTAATAGGAGACAGATGGTTAGCCTTGATGGAGTAGAATCACAGGTTCTACCGATTACGAACGGGGTACCCCAGGGTTCTGTCTTGGGCCCTCTATTATTTTTAATCTACATTAATGACCTCCCACAAAATGTCAACAATAGCAAATGCTACCTTTTTGCAGACGACACTACTCTGCTCTCCAAGGATACCCAACTTGACGAGGCCCACAGCCTCGACCAGGTTAAGCGGTGGTTCTCCGCAACAAGCTCAAGCTTAATGAAGCGAAAACCAGTAAGCTAAGAATAACATCAGACAAATGGAATGAGAGTTCATCATCCGTAATGTTATTAGGGATCGTTGTGGATAGCCATTTGACCTGGTCGGAGCATGTGGACCAGGTGTGTACCAAGATTTCCAGACAAATGTTTATCATGAGGCAACTGGCGCAATGTTTGCACAGACAAACCATGAGAACTGTATACTTTAGCCTCATTCATAGTCATCTGTCGTATGGTATCATCCTCTGGGGTAATTCTGTCAAGGCCCAAAAAGCATTTATAATGCAAAAGGCTGCTATACGGATTGTAGCTGGCGTCTCCTACGAACATACGTGCCGTGGTTTGTTCAAAGAGATGCGCATACTGCCGTTAGCATGCCTGCTCATATATGAGACCCTTCTACATGTTCACGCAAACCTGAGTACTTTTTCGATAAGATCAGAGACACACAGCTATAATAAAGATACGCTAATGATATATCATTACCGCAGCCTAGGATCATAAGCGGTCTAATATTGAGAAGATGTCTAACAAACAGTTCTCTAGGTTTGTCAAAAACTATTTGTTACAAAACTGCTTCTATACTGTAAGCGAATACTTAATTACTGTAAGTGAATATTTAAGTGCATGTGATCCTAGTGATCAGTGATCGTGTGTAGAGCAAGAAGACAGACTGTATAAACTTTATCTAGTTTGTGACCTCAAACATGTATCTATTTGTATAGGTGGTCAATAAATGGTATGGTATGGTATGGTATTTATTATTATAATTATTATAATAAATATTATTATTATTATTATAATTATTATTATTATTATTATTGTTAGCTATTCTCTGCTACTGCAGGTGGTATCCTCAAACGCGGCATTATACTGC